AAACGGTTACAAAGAAACATCAGCACTGCCGATACTGTAGATCTGTCTCTGTACAGTTTAGTCAAAAACACCATTAGTAAAGACTTGGGAACCCATATCGAACACATTCTGACAGCTCAACCCTCCAAACTAAAAACTGGACAGAACAAAGTGAAAATATATTTGAACATCGAATATTTTCTAATATGTGAACAACATGAAGTGGACTTTGTTTCCATTTGCTTACGCATTGTCACTTCTGAGACAAGACAATGACACACTTTCAAGAGTACCCCTCATGATTTTCAAAAAAAAAAGATCAGATGCTGTTTAAGTTTAGGTTTGTTCACTTAAAACAAGTCATTGCAGCTCTACTTCATTATAATGTGCCTTACCTCTGCTGTGATGGCCAGGAATCCGCACTGCCACTTGTCCTGTTGGGTTTGTTTCCCTTAAGGGCAAAGTCTACCTGCTATCAGTCAGTTCCCAAAGAGACAGGACGTTGGCTCCAGGGGAAAGGAAAGGGAAGGATGTAACCCTCATTAGGGTCAATGAGACACTCTGATCAAGTTCTTAAAATGTCATTAAACCAACCATGTTGGCACTTTATCAGGGCAAACTGTCGTCACCTTTTTTTTCACTATGTTGATCCACACAGGCCTTTAGAATAAGTTTATACTGGTGTCTTCACACAATTTAACAAAGATTTTTTTTATTTAAATTCTGTGTAATGATACATTATTAGCACTCTGTACATGATAAACCTGTAATAATTAATCTTGAATTGCACAATAAGGTTAAAGCAGCTCAGTGGCAGCCTGTGAAATACCCTAAGTCATGTGACCTTAGGTACACACTGATAGCAACCTGTCAGCAGAAACCATCCAGTAAAAAAGAAACAAATGATGGATGCCAGCAGTCCAACCTACACAGAAGGATTATGGGAAGTGACTCACACTGAGAAAGATTAGCTAAAGACATACTGTACGCTGAAAATACATCAAGCAATGTAGGTCAATCCATTCTTAGTTCTTCTCCATGAAGAACTGCCATGGAAAGGGATATAGAAGACCACCTCCATGAATGAGAAACCACTTCAGGATGAATCAGTTTTCACTGAAAAACCATAGCTCAAGTAAATTGTAATTTCCACTTCGTGGCCTTGATTGAATTTGATTACACTATGCATTAAGTATTTTGATGTGATATTTAACGTTCTAATGCCTCAGATACATCAATAGATATGAATCTCAAGATGAAAATCCAGCCTCTTTTTATGTTATAGATGAAAAACAAACAGTCCTCCTGCCTCATGAACAAACACTTCTACAACTCTGGGTTTTGATTTGAACTACAATGAAGCAGCAGAAGATACACACAAAAAATATTTTTAAATTTTTGTATCAGCAATTACAGGTGATATTATTTATATACATTAGTATATATGATGGTATACAGGTGCCAAAAAATAAATTCCAAACTCAGCGTATCAGCACACATCACAAATAAAGAGAACTTCTGCTAAGGAAGAGTGGTCAAGCCAAAGCATTCATACATACAGTAAAGCAAACACTGGGGGGCACTAGTCTCCTGTGCTTCTTCTGCTAATTGCAGTGATTTTGTTGTGACGCTCCCCCTTCTCTCTTTGCCACCTCCTCACCCAACCAGCAGCGCCAAATCCTCCAGAGAGCTCCCATAAGCCAGCTGCCCGTTCATTTTAACTACTGAATCAAATCCATCACTTCTCTCACATACATGTGATCTTTTCTGTTTCTGTCAAAGTGTTGCTAACACTAAAGGAGCCATTGTTTTTCCTGCCTACACTGCAATGAATAAGGACTCATTTAAAATAAGGATAAATAAAGACTTGCCACATAGTAGCATGCACATCATATTTGAAGGCAGAGACATTTCTGCCACACAAAGAGATTCTCACTCTATTTTCTGCTGATTGGTGTGTATTAGTCAACACGGGCTCGATTTACACTGCCTGCTCAAATCTCATGAGCTTGCTCTCACTTATTTATGAGGTCTGAGCTGGATTTGAATGGGTGGCAAAACAAACAAAGACACATTTGAACAAGCAGGGGAAATATGGCCTGTGTTGACACACACTGATCAGCGTGGAGCCCAGTGCAAGGCTAAATTTAACAGAGATCTGATCATCTCACCTCTGTCCAAACAGGGCACAAAGCTGAAGCCACACAGAGCAGAATGTGTGCAGAGCAGAGATCTGTGTCCAGGCCATGAGATATCGGGTGGATGAAGGGACAGAAGGAAAGATGAAAAGAAGAAAAGACATTGAGTGGAAGAATGGAAGAAAGAAAGAGGATGGAAGGAGACAGCCAGATTAACAAAGGATTAATGGAAGAATGAAAGAGGAAAAGAAAGGCAGAAGAAACAGAATATGTCCTACTGCAGTGCAGATGGACTGACAGCTCTGATTTGTCAGACTGATACTATGCTCTCTGGGGGTTTTGGGACTGAGGATCACAGAGGGGGTGTTCTGGTGGTGTCACTGGAAAAGGAGAGACGTAGCCATCATGTGAGTCTCTCTGTCTGTCACATGCATCTGTGAATTACTGCTTCCCGGCTGTTCTGGCCATGGAAGGATTTATTCGGAGAATTGAAATGGTGGTTTGTGTTGCCTCAGAGAGCCCCAGTGCAGGTGTGAAGGTCTTTGACACTAGATGTCTCTTCATGTCTAATTTAC